TGAAAGACCCGTAACACCCAGTCAGCCAGAATGCAGGGTTACTGTATGTCCTCTTCACACTGGGGTGAATTTTAAGGCAAAGACACACATATCCTTAAAAACTGTTTATTTAACCTGTAAAACACAAGGCACGATTCTGTGTACCATGCACTACTCAGAAGCTCTTCGAATGCCCAGCTTTGACAGTAGTACCAAGCCGAGGGAAGGACGAAAAAAAAATCAAAATATAGTGTTGACACACTCAATTCTTGGAAGGCACTGCACAATCTTCTTACTCAATGAAATTAGGACAATTAGGCACTTAAAAAAAAATTAATGTGGTAACTGTGCAAATGTATTTACTCAAAATAATTTATTTCAATGAAAACCATAAATATATGTCTATGATATATTTTTGCTGGTTAAAAGTTTTACTTAAATGAGTCAACTGATTGTCCTCTGTCATTTTTAAATGTTAGGAACATAATAACATCATTTGGGATTTAAAATTTAAGGAAAAATAGCAAAGACACTTGTAAAGCAGTATGAATACTGAGTTCAATATTTTACCTTTTTTGCTAATTTTAGTATCATTTGACTTGACAGCTTTAGTATAAACTTAGTATTTATTAAATCATTTCCTGACATACACTCCCGTCAAATATTGGTGTGGGGAAGTGAACACCTTACAAGAGGAAAGGGCCATCATTTTTTATATACACTACTTCTCTTGGTCTGTGTCAAAACAAATCAAAGAAAACTCAACAATAATTACAAAATTTGAAGGGTTTTCAAAAAAGCTTGTATTCTGGAAATTTGAAGTCTCAAAATACACTTTATCTTGGGTTAGATTAGCTGGGACTAAGATTAGCTCTTCCAGGTTGAAAAATCCAATCAGAGAAGTTGTATTTTCCATTTCTCTAAACTTTTGTATAGCTCTTAATCCAAATAAATTGAAGAATATTCTCTCTCTCCTCTATTTTCCTAAGCAGAGAACCCCGTTCCCTAAGCCAGTTTGCAAACTTGAATATGCACACGCATGGGATGCTGTAAAAGGTTTTCGTAAGGAAGTCAGGAACGCTAACTTGATCCATCAAATCAGCATCTCCCCTCAGCTTTCCCTTGAACTCTCCTAAAATTAAATCTTCTTGAAAATTTATTTCCAGTCATGTGGGTCCCATCCTCAAATGCCTGCTGTCCCTACTATGATTTCATAATCACTTCTATTTCCACAACGTATGGGCACCTCTCTCCCTCTGGTGCCCTGTTTGTGACACTGAGTTTACAAAAGGAGCAGCGGAGGGGAATTGTGAAGTGCAACACATTACATGCTGATACAAGGAGCCCTTCCACACTGGGCACCAAGCCTGATTATACAATACTCTCCAATCAATGCTTCCAGCGCAGCCAAACTCACTGAGTTTCATCAAACGTTCATCAGAGACATTTTTGGTGACAGCTCACTGTGACTTCTGACATGCAGCTCTGCAGGAATTCAAAGACTAAGGTGCAATGTTACGAGAGATGCCTCTCTGTTCCCATCCACATGTACCAGTGGGTTTGCTCAGCAAAGGAAGAATCACAACCATAGCTACTGTTAAAAGAACAAAATCTGCAACACGAAAGGTTCAGGTTCCAGCACCCACATGGCAGCTGACAACCACCAGGAGTTCCAGTTCAGGGGATCCAACGCCCTCATCTGGCCTCTGTGGGCATTGCATGCACAGTTGCACTTAAGATACATGCAGGCAAAACACTCAGACACATAAAATAAAAACAAATTTTACAAATAAAAAAAGAAACTACCCAACTTGAATTCAAATATTTAAAATGTTCAAGTCTGAAATTCTGTGTTAAAAATTAGATGATTTTGGTGGTAGGTGTGGACAGCAAACTAGAATGTCCTACAGTCACACAGAGGACTGCATTGCAAACGAGGGAGGGACCATGAGGGCCTCAAGAGAGTAAGTGGTGTGACGCACCAATGGTCAGTAACACACTGGGGCTGCCTTTTGGCTTTGGGTTACACATATTATCTAAAAACTGACAGTTTTACTTACAGCATTTTTTACTCTGGATTGAGTTATCAGATAGTACCAAGAATAAGTCATTCATTCATCATTTGTTTACTGTGATCTGCAGGACAGAAACATCTTTACACTGAAAACGTGTAAGCAAAAGAGTTCAAACAAAGGAAGTTTCTGAGGAATCCTTTGACACACACATTGTCTTTTTTCCTTGTCATGGACACACTGTTTCTCTTTTCTTTGCTTAAAGATTTATATTTGGGTGTGACTATCTACTCAGAGCCAAGTTGATCTCTCACACTGGGAGCCAACTTCACAGAGTCGACGATGAACGTGAAGGAAGAGCTGCGTCATTTGATTCTCATTGGTGATGGAGGGTATAAATCCCTACTGCGCCTCTAGGCTCAGTGTCCAGCTCACAAGCTCAGACATGCAGCCAGGCTGATCCACCTGGCAAGCTGAAGGGGACTATCCATTGAAAATTTCTACTCTAAAACACTTTCATTAGAGATAGTGGTGCTGGAAGTGGTATTTTAGAGTTGATACCCTCCAAATTGTATACAGTCGAGATGTGAAGTCTCTGTTAACTTTTGGCAGGATTTTTAAGACCATTTTTATTTATCCCAAACTCTATCTGAACAAAGTCAGCACAGGCCCTGTGCAGTTTTTACATCCAGCATTTCACGGTGTAATTAAGTAGGCAAGTAACTCGGAGCTAAACAGGGGCTCCAAGGAAAACATCAGGGCACTACTTACTGGCTGGTGGAATTTCAGAGACTTACAATTTCTGTTCTATTGTAAAACTGCACTTTATTACTGGTTTATTCTTAAAATGCAATAAGTATAAACCGTCTTAGTAATGATGGAGAAGGCGTCTCAGCTTTAATGAAACCTTTTATTTGCTACTCAAACTTTTATTATTTGCAAATGGAAACACAGGCGAGAAAAATAATTACTGCTTTTATTTGAAAGGGAGACTTTAGCAACTTGAATACTTTTGTTCTTGGGTGAATTCTAAGGCATTTAGACTGAATACAAGCTTGTTGTTTCCATTTATTTTTATAAACTCAACACAACATATTTATACATCGCTATTACCAAATCATTCTGTCATCATATATCAAAATACTAGATGGGTATGGTTATGTTCCAGCAGATGTTGGTCCTATCTACAGAGAATTTCTGTACATTTAAAATCATGCACATCAAACTTTTGAATGTAATGGTGAAGGATGGAGGCTCAGACTGGACCTGTCAATTTCATGTTATAGTCCTGACCCTTCCTAGCCGTGCAGCCCTTAGAAAGTCCTCGGTCCTAAGTGCCCTCATTTGTAGAGACAAGAATAATTAGAGTCCCCATGAGAATGGCTACAGAGTCAATATGATATTTCATGTAAACACCAAAATGGAGCCTGGCTGATGTAAACACTTAGTAAAAGGCTAGCCCTAACATGGCTTCCACACGTCACCACCAACATTTTAGATCACCTAGTACCATTTATTCAACCAACAACTGTTGGGCTTACCTTATGCTGAATGCAGTCCTAGACAGAGAGGCAATACTTAATGAGGCATGGTGCTAATATTTTGAGAAGCTTTACAATGTGCATTGCTACCCCATATAGCCTTTAAAGAGCACCAGAAAACACACAGTCCGTTAACTCACACATTCTCCTCTCCCCTATGCCCTCAGAACTAATGGAGCTTCAGAAAAATTTGATTTCTGTTTCTGAAATCTTCATCTTAATGAGCAGCTACACGTTTGCCCATATTTTCACATAAATGATTAAATGGTTTAATCAGAGTCTAACTTGGCCAAAAACTTGACAAACACAGGGAGATGACCGTGACTGACACATTCATTTTCCTGATTTTGGACAAAGCACCAAAGCCAGCCACAGAAAGCCTGACCCATGGCCAACAGCTGCCCAGGAACACAGCAGCAAAACGTTAAAGCACCTAAATTTAATTTAGATGGAGCTTCATTGCTTTCCAGAATGTTCTGAAACTGACTTCCAGAGGGACACCTTACAGGCCTAATAAGGTTTTCCAAGCATCACAAACTCCAAGTGATCTTGAATAGGCTAGCCTCTGCTAATTTGTTGTGCTTTAAAATGTGGAATAAATGCAATTAAAAAGAAAAGAGTTCTCATATTAGTTGCAACATCAATGAGGTTACCTGCTTACTAGATGTATCAATATAAAAAGCATCCAATGCCCATTACAGCCTTCCTTCAGAAGGAGGTGGGGTATTTCCCTTTCAAGGAAAGAATGGAAACCTTGTTTGTGCAAAAGCCAACAGTGACTGTTAACCTTTTGTGATGTGTTGAATGTTACCAACCAGGGTCTTCTGAAGACCCACCCACCCACAGGAGATCATGGTGAACCCACCCGAGTGTGCCCGCTCTCCCCAATCGCTTCCTCTCCTTTGACCCACCACTTTCCTGGGTCCAGATCCTTCTAAAGGAATTTGTGTTGCTTCTGAGACTGGGAACATGCAAATTCTGACATGAGGCAGCTCCTTCCAAGGAGACCTTCCTAAGCATAGACGCAACCTCACTGGTTTTTGTGCAAGCCGCAGTGAGGCTCTCTCTCGGCCCCAATTCTCCCAGCCAATGCCTATTTTGGTAATCTGTACTTCTGCATTTAAACACGTATGTTGTACATCACAAGGTCTTCATGCCAGAGTCAGTCCGGGCTCAATCTACACGCTTTCCACGTCCATTTTTATTTTCCGTCTTTCCAGGCTCAAAATTTCAAAAGGGCAGAACAGTGGTGGAAGAAGCAAGGATGGGTGGCGGGGGAGGAGACGGGCGGGCGGCCTGCCTGGGAGGTCTGCCACCCTCCTGCAGCCTAGAATCCGTGCGTTCCTTCCTCCCCCTCTCCTGGCCGCCCCTGGGCTCCGCAGCAGGAGGAGGAG